CAGGAAGACCAAATACAGTAAATAAAACACATATAATCCAACAAACCACACAACAACCACAGGAAGACCAAATACAGTAAATAAAACACATATAATCCAACAAACCACACAACAACCACAGGAACATCTAATGCAGTTTACGATGTCGAATCATAATAACAACAGTAACTCTTTCCGCAGAACAAAGCAAAATCTCGAATCCTTGTCTTGATCAGTTGTCAAAAGCGGTTTACCCAACGTTATATAATAGATAAATCAATATATAGAATTGTTAATAGGCGATTAACATCAGAACTATAAAACAATAATGAACTTAATATAAACCAGAAGCAATATAATAAAACCGAAACTCAAAATGATGCCTCCGTTATTATTCCTTATTGCCGTCCGTGAGTCATAACAGATAATGCCTGTGGACATAGCACCTAAATGCGTTGCGGAGATTCCAGCTATCAGGTAAGATACGAACCGCCGATGTAAAAACTTGGTGTCATAATTTTACGTTTTAATTTTATTATACTGTTTCTGTTTTATATATATATAAAACAGTATATCTTTTGTCAAGAAATGGCTGCTATTTTAGTATTGCAACTAAGAAAATTATCTCCGAGTGTATGAGTGTATTAAGAAGCTATTGTCTCTTATTACAAACGACGTTTAGTCTAGTACTACTTGGTCCCGTAATCTCTTCTCAATGCCACACTAGCTTTCAATACCAAACTTAACAAAATTTCATTATAATTTTTAGCAGTAAGCTGCTAACGTAACGCACTTGTGGTTCGTTATGTCTGCAGTGCTGTAAGGATCACTCTGGCTGTCTTTCTAACGGAATGAATTATTTAGGAACGTAAATGGATTAGTTTTCGAACAACAAAAGCCGCTTCTCTGCACGTTCTGGTTATTATTACTTGCTGCTAGGTGCTAGAGAGAGAGAGAGAGAGAAACGCCCACACACACACGTTTGTAAATCAGCAAAGTTGAACATTTATGAAATTCAACGACCTTCTTTGAAATCAAATCCTTATGAGATTCA